AATTAATTTAAATAAAATAAAATAAAATGGTAAGAGCAATGGTAAGAATTTCTATCTTGTATATTTAAATTAACGTATTTATTTATATATTTAAACTTATTAGTAAATGAAATGCTTACATGATTTTAACGGATGACTGGGATTTTGCTACATATTTCCAGTGAACATTTACAATAGATTGATTTTTGAATTTGGCTGCACTAAAACTTAAGATGTAAACATTTTTGCGAGTAAAACCTAACTCTGAAGATTTTCAGAGCATTGTTGTTGCATCACATGTTTTCTGTCGTAAGTTGCGAGCATTTTTTTTTTGCTACTTTTAAAGAAAAAATTACGGCTATTGTTAATCTGGAAAAACGACAGAGAAGTTCAAATCTTGAAAACCATGTAAATCCGCTGGCTAGACCTCTTGCTAATATGACTACTTCCTCTAGACTAAAACGGAACGAAAGACCCGCCATCCTACTTTCCTAATGATCATCCTGATTAATTCAACTTATACACCGTGATATCTGGTAAATAAGCCCTGGCTACTTATTCAGAGGTCCCTTGAAATAATTTACAAATCATTATATGTATCATTATGGTATGTTTATATAAAATAATTTGTAATGTAATGTTATTAGTCTTTAAGATTCTAAAACTTTTTGTTAGGCTTTAATTTAAAGCGATTCAATAAAGATATATAGTTAAATAAAAAAAAAAAAAGTTACTGAGAACCAGAGAACTGTAATCACGTAAGCAAATCTCAAAAAATATTCTTAAAAGCTTAGGCTCTTAAAAATAGAGCCTAAACATGGTAAAACCAATTTAATCATTTCATTTAACAACATTATAGTTAAGAAAAAATAAAAATTATTTATGGTTGAGTTGCTTGTTCTCTTTTTATCGAATCCCCAGTTACTAAACAAAAACCAATTGCAATAATGAATGTATATAAATGAAAAAGCTTTTTACAAGTAAACCCCAATTAAAGAAACTCAATTATATTTACATTTTTTTATACGAACTTCCTTTTAGCCAATAATTTTACGAGGAAAGCCTTAAAACAACTTTTGTTGATACTACAAAACAAAAAAAAATAATAATTTGCTTGATTCATGTGTTTTTAATAAAGGAAATTGCGATATTCACACGCAATGTAAATGCACATCGACAGATTCTATCAATTACGGAAAACACAATGAAACGCTTTAAATAGAATTAAGATACTTCGATGTGTTAAGTAGGACTGTTTTTAATCTTAATATATTGGATTAATATTATAATTGAACAACATAAAAAGTTTTTTGAGCACATTAAGTGGAAAATAAAATGCGAAAAAAATTATTTTTTCATTGTTTTCTGGGTTGGGTTGGTAATGATAGCTTTTAAAGAACAAAGAAGATGTATGGACAAGGGACTGACATAAAACTTATTCAATGGCAAAGCACATGATCTTATAATTGAATAAAATAATTGGGATATTTATATATATTATGAGAACAGCAACCAACATCAAGCATAAGTAATAAGTTAGATAGGCAAAATATTTCTATTCAATAAAGGAAGATAGTTCTAGGTTAAATAACCTAGGTACTGCTTTTCTTCTAATTAGGTTCTAATTCTAGCCAGCATCAGTGGTATAGTCAGGATTGCATCGAAAGCAATATTCCACCTTAGAGAACATTGCAGTGTATAGTATATAGATTATATCGCATATCTCTCTCCCCTAGGATACGAATGGTTAGCTTTTTATAAAGCAATCACTTTTGTTTTTGTTAATATTTGATTTGAATTTAAATGATCCCAAAATGTTCTGCAAAAGTTTCATATATTAAATCAGACTAAAACATACAAATGACCAGTACATTCTACTTGATGAATAAAAATTATACCTCCTTTAAAGTTGTATATAAATAGATTAGGACATTTGTTGTCTACAGTAAAGTGAATTTTTGATATACGTGGTTATATATAGTTCTTAACAATTTATATGTTGTTGGAAGGTAACATTTTGTTAATTTTAATTGTAGATTCATATATTGAATACTTTAGTTATATCAAACTTGAGTAATGCTCTCTACAAAATTGATTAATCTAAAGCATATCTAATCGTATTTATTGGCGTAAAATACTTTTAACGGAAATCGCTTTTTTATCAACTAAGAAAATATTTCACTAAAGACGGTTCTTCAAAGCATGTTGTATTATTTTCTTAACTGTAGAAATGCAATTATTGTTTATTATTATTTTAATTTTTTCTAACTTTTAAATATAGAAAAAATTTGAAATCTATATTGTATAGATTGTGTTTAGAATTATGTATACAAATATATGCCCAAAGAAACTATTTTTTAAAAGGAAGGGTTTACAGTTTTATTGTTTATTTTAAGTACAAAACTTTTTATTTTCAATTTCTGTTACGAATGCTTTGTGCCCTATGACAAGAAATCTTTTTGAATATCAAAGGGGGTAATAGTGAAACAAGTCCAGAAAATTAAGTATACCTACGTTGTGTTTTTGTGTTAAAACGCAAACCTATCATTTTATTTTTAACAAAATCAAATCCTGCCACATGGAGTTCTGATAATTTATACCGGCAGTTAAACCAAAAAATGTTTTCAAAGATTATTAATGATTATTATTTGACGGTACCGGAATCATTTCTATAGTTACCCTAAGACAGCTAATAGTTTACTTTCTGTTTTCTTGTAGGAATAATTTTGGTACAACTCTTAATAGACTATAAATTCTAATTTATATATAAGCTACTCTATATTTTATATGTATAAAAAAACAGGTGTCACAGCTTTAATAACATGTTCGGTTTTAACGAAATCGGACTTTACTCTATATGTCACGTAGTTCTGAATAATTTACGTACAAAAAAACTCTCTAAACATCAAAAAACAAAAAAAAGACAATTAGTCATAATTTGAAAACTGTAGACCGTCACTTCTTATATCAAAAATACAATAAAAAAAACAGTTTATAGAGATTAACTAGAAGTTATGATATTAATCACAAACCTATAATGGTATATGGGATTGCAATATTTACTTTTAGTAATGACAGAACTCTTAATACAGCTCGACAGAGATATCTTGTGTATGTATACATACTGCTTAAACACATTTTTCGAATAAGGACGTCCAAGCACTCTGGTAGTGAAAGTAAGGTGAGTAGGGCTATGTGAGTTGAGTAAAGAAGTTCCTTATTTTGAACTAAATTTTTAAGCACTTATATTTCCAAACTAATTATTTATTGAGAATTAAATAAAAATAATGTATACTTTTTTTATAATTTACAGGTTTGTTCTAAGAACCCAGATTTTTACTTGGGCATAGGCATTGTGCAAAATATGAACATATCCAGTCTTTAAGAACTCCACGAGTATGGACAAATGTTATTGAAAACATTTAAGTACAATTTATATTTACTATATATAATTTACTATATTTGTATATTCGAAATAAGCTCGAATTCGGTCTTTTGGATTGACCACCTCAAATGTTCGAAAATGTTTGAACTACTTAAAATTTTTCGAACAACGCATATAACAAACCTACTTTCCGATTTATTTTATTTTGTTTTATACAAATACGTATTACAGCAAATCACTTACACATAATATAGTGTTTTGATTTATGTTTTATTTCACTTTCGTTTTGTTTTATGAAAAGACTAAAGCACCATATGATGTTCGAATATATTGTTATTGTTGTAATGCGCGACAGGGGAGAGGATTGTTTAGATGCAGCAATGCATTGGGGATGGATGGGATTTAAAATGAAGTTAACCTGGGGGAAGGTGAAGAAAATCAACCAAATCAATGAGGAGGGTAACATAGATCAATTGGACTTCAGTTAGTGAACACATTGGGACTTGAACACATCTTCGAACACGAGAATGCTTGAACCTGGAAACACTAAGTTGCTCGAATCTGAGAAGACGAAACTTCTGGACCCTCAAAATATTATTGCGTTTTGGATTGGTAAATCTGGATTTAATATAAATTTACTCTCAATCTGTCAAATTTTGTTGCCAATTCGAATGTTTTTAGAGTAATCTAACTAATTATTTCAATCTTATTATTACTAGACATTAGTATATATCATAAATACATGCGTTGAATCAAATTACACTTTATTTGTCAAGTCATATAAAACAGTTCTTAATTCAAGGGTAATCTTGCTACTATAGCAAATATCTAATGTTATAAATTAATCTCAATTATTATACATATTGCTCGAGATTTATCAAACGAAAATGTAAATTGCACTAAAAGTGAATCTAAAAGTGATTAAAAATGTAACCCCTGATTTACCATTCGAAAACGGCATTAAAATCTTCGAACACTTTAATGCTCAATGCTTCGGATATTGAAATGGTCGAACCTTTTAATACTAAAATGTTCGACCTTTCCAATACTAAAAGACTCTATAATTTGTAAATAAAACCCTTGAACTTCGAACAGCTCGAATGTCATTTGAAACGAAAGATCACTATATCTTTGGATCGATAGGTGTTAAGATATATCTCCAAATCTTTGGGATAATCTTTTTGAAACAAATAACAAAGAAACAAATAGTTTATAGAAATAACGGGGAAAATGACAAATATTAGAAAAATTAATAAAAAGCTTTTAGAAATTCTCCCATATGACATTTTTGGAGTAAAGTGAAATATATTCTCTAATTGCTAGCATTCTTGACAACTTGTATGTAAATTTTTAGCACCACCTAGCATTTAGTTTATTTACAACACCTATTTTGTGACACAAAATGATCCCACCAGGGATCGCCGGTAAACCTAACCTAACCTACAACACCTATTGGATTATATGGTCTAATGAAGTTTAAGTATAATTCGACATAAACTGTAATGAACTCGCTGGTTTAATTGAATTCAAGACAATATAAACCTTTTAACTAACTTATTTACTACTCTTTTATACATATTTTTATAAGAATAAAATTTATAAAAATAGAAAATTGAATAAAAATCTGTGAACTTACCGCGACGGTTGAAGGGTCGCACCCTCACGGCGACTTTGATCTTATCGGTTGACATTTTGTGTTGTGGTGTTTGTGTTCCGTTTAAATTTCAACTAGAAAAGACTCGAAGTTGTGGAGCTTGTTCACTTTTCTTAAAATACTTCCAGCCCACTTCCCACTGACAGCACAGCGAATAATGTAAAAAGTTTTTATAACCTTTTTATTGCACGTTATGACGAGTAAACAAACTAGTAGAGCACGAAACAGCAACAAAGCAACAATAAATATAATAAAATAGAAAAAAGAAATTAAGTAAATACTCGGCTGTTTGTGGTGTTAGCCTTTTATGTCCTTTGCAAGGCTTTGTGTTTAAAATATTTTTGCTGCTGCCGCTGCCGCTGCCACTGCTAAGTGAAGTGGAATTGAAGTGTCTGTTAAATTTCCTCCAATTGACGACTTATGAATTTGTTGTTGGAGTTGTTGGATTTCGTTTGTTTCGTTAATAGAGAACGTTACGAACGTTGCCTATACATATGGGAACGGCTTGTTGCAGGTTACAACAGGGAATGGATAGATGACTCAGGAGCAGCAGTAAACAGTAAAATCCGCGACCATCAAAACGTCATGCACAATATAAAAATTCTGCTTAATTAATTGTGATGGCAAAAACAACACAAGTTATTGTTTTTGTTTTTGTAGAATATTTCGTTTCAGTTTGTTGACTTGGTGCGGTGCTCCATGAAAGGTGACAGGCGAAAGCGAAGACAATTAAGCGTTAGCGTAGTCTAGAAAATACGTTGCAGGGAGGAAGGAGGAATGTAGTAGGTGCTGATGTTAATTTTTGTTGCTTTTGCTTCGATTCGTTGTTCGAGAATTGAGATCAACTCGTATATTTCGTTTCTCCCCCAAAAATGCACTTTTTATATTTACACAAAATTTTCACTGATTTAATAACAAATGTGCACACACATCTAATTGAATATTTATTTAATTTACATTTGCCACAACAAAAAAAGCATAACTTCTCGCTTTTGTTTGTTCACCCTGACACTTAAAATAAACACAAATACGCAGTTGAAGCGATAATTAAATCTACTTTAATATTTAATACAAAAATGTTATTTTATTATTATTGACTTAAAATTAGCGTTAGATTAAATCATTTAGAATATTTAAACAGGAATACACTTTGATTTCATATATTATTTTGTGCCTTCGTTGTGAGTTGAGGGGGGCGCATGTGTGTATGTGAATTTTAGTGTTGGTATTTTTGTCGTTTTTTTTTTTTCTGTGTTTTTGCTTTTAACAAGGAAGTCGTTGTATTAAAAAAATTAAAGGAATTTTCAAACAATAATTTTTAAATTTGCACATATTGTAATTGTATAATTTTGTGAATTATATTAAAATCAAGTTGACTTATAAATCAACTTTATTGCCAAATTTCATAAAACTTTTTTGGTTTAAATTTTTTAACTTGTTTTTTTTTCTGCTTGAAGAATCGATTTTTATTGCTGCTGCTTGCCAAAAATTTTTGCGTTAGAACTTTTTTACAAATTACCACTTTATTGAATATGCACGAATTCTTTAAATTATTTCAAATAATATTCTACTGCTTTAGGTATATTTTAAAATAGTTTTTATTTATTATTTAAGTGTTCTTCCACAACAAATTCACAAATCTTTAGCAGGTAGAAAAGAAAAACACTTGACACCACCGACGACTAGCAGCCATATTTGATGAATGAAGGCAAGAGTAGTGTTGCATTTGTGTTGTGGTTCATTACTTGGCGCAGCGAATTTATGAACGTACAGTGTTGCTTCTTTTATGTCATTACAAATGGAAAATCCCCAAAACATCTGTTGTCAAATTTGAAGACAGAATTATTTGTATTAAGAGAGAATTATTTGTATATATCATATTTATATTTATATCATATTTAAAAAAATTCAAGCAACTAAATTAAATTTTTTTTAATTGATAAAAAGGCTAAAGTGAATAAAAAATAAAAGCTTATTGGTTAATTATTATTTTTGTTTTTATTATTGTTGAAATAACCGTTTAACTTATTAAATATCGACAGAGCCTTATTCTGAATTAGCATTTGGCTCAATGGCATTCTTCTTTGAATCATATTTTTATCCAATTTGATAAAAGGGACTTAATAAATGGACAAATGGATTTCTATTTTTTGGAACTTGTTTAGCCTACAATTGTGTGACAGTTTTTTCATTGTCCTTTATATTGTTCGCATCTCGATTATAAATTGTTCTTACACTACACTTACACTGACTCATATTTGTACTTTATAAAGTAGAAATTTAACTTTCCACTTCACCATACAAATGTAAACTGATAATGTTTGAATTAAAAGAATACATGTAAATCTCCGTTTGTGATCTACAAGAAATAAAATGGAAATCTCCTCTCTTTTTATAAAACTTTTTTTTTAAATTTTTCCATAAAAATATTTTTTTATACATTTTTATAGTTTTTTTATACTTTATAAATTTTTTTTTTATTTTTTTATATAAATTTATAAAGAAAGGATTTTCTTTACTTAGAGAACAGTCTGTGCAAGGAGTTAGGAGTTACAGCAAAACTGCAAACGACGTCGTTCAGATAAAGGGCCAGGAACTGTGGAGGCTTGTTGCATATAATATTAAGCTGGTCGGTGGGAAATTGAGATGGGTGGAGTATATTAGTAAGAAGATTATGAGTTGGTATAACATTTGTACTATAAACATTGTTAAGTAACAAGATATATCAATTTTTTTTAATCTTCTGATACACAAAAAATATGGTAGTGCAAATATAGATTTTAAGTAAATTTCTATAATTTTTTGTAAGTGTTGTATTAATATCTTTGAATCAATAATAAATAAATAATATTAACAAACAATAATTGTAATAATAATATAAAAATCAATTTCAATTGTTATTATAAGTTAATTTCATTTTATAATATAATAAACAATAATTTTTAATTTGAGTATTCAGATCGAATTCAGTGAATTTCTATTCAGTAAAATAATTTATTGTTGCTTTCGATAAAATTAAAAAAAAGTTCAAATTTGTTAATATTATAGTTGTTTATTTTAAATTTAATAGGATAATAATTAATATAAATAAGATTCTAATATGTTGCAACTTTAGAGATACTGATTTCAAAACGCAGTGTCGTATTTGAAATATATATAAAAAAGCGTTATTGGTTTAAACATAAAATAGAATTAAATCAGAAATAAATTCAAAACATAACATTTTGTTTATGTAAATATTTATTTTGTAATTGTCAAATATTGTGTTTATTGCAATTTATCATAAAAGCCAATTTCGAAACATTTAATTAGTAAAATTGCTATATTTTTATTAGTTGTAATAAAACAATCAACGGATTATAATAGGATAAGTAAAGAGATGTCTGTTCATCATATAAAATAGTATAGAGAACATTTAATAAAAGTCTTACAACATTTTTTCAAGTTTGTAACGAAAAGTCGGTACTACAGTTTATACATTGTGGTGAGAGTATTAGATAGAATGATTTTTCCTTGTGGCCAATTGACACTCAAATTAAGTCTAAAATATTTACCAATTGAAATCTATTGCGTTGCCAAATAAGAAGAATTACATAGCAGTGAATAGCACAGAATTAAACCAGTTTTGTCATATACTAGCAAATTTATACCAATAGTTAGGCATAATGAGTTCATATCTTTGCTAATCGTAATTAATAATTTCTATGTTTATCATCGCACACACTGTTGAAAATATGGAAATGTTTCTATGTTTTCATTTATTTGTAGGAATTATGTAGAAAATGTATTATTTTGTTAAAATAAATCATTTTAATATTTTATTAATATTAATAGCAATTAAAAAACAAAATAAATAGTTTTCTATAAATTAAAATTTAATTTTAATTAATGGTGAGCCAAAAATTCAATTAATTAAAAATATTTAAAAAAATTTTTTTTGTTGATCCACAAAATCCTCTCTATTGAAAAAAATAGTTTATATTAAGAATTTAGTTTCTTTAGCCAAAATGGACGTTAAAAATCAATTTAATTTAAATTAATTTAATAAATTTAATTTGATTTTATATTTTCTAATATTAAAACAGTTTTTTGGAAAGAAATTAATTTTTTAAATTATTGAACAATTTAATGAATATTTCCATATTAAGACTATAATTTATTTATTTTTTTATTAACCTAAGTATATATCTGTCCATCTATTCACAATTATGGATTCACATATTAAATATATTAATTATAACAATATCTTATTATTATTAAAGACATTAAGATAATACATATTAAAAATTATCAGTATCAGTTATGATGTAAAGATAAGAAAACTATTAATATTATGTAAATAAATTTGAATCACAAAATAAAAATATTATTGATAAATGCATATTAAAGTAAATTACCAAAAACAAAAAAAATTAGAAAAAATTTTATATATGTACATATAGGTTTAAAAAAATTTTTATAGCATTATGATTATATTATTTGATATATTTAAACTGACATCCAGTAATCAATTTGCCAACACTTTGTCTTTTGAACTACAATAAGAAGTGAAGGTACATAGTTAATTAAAGTATAAATATACTTTTTATTTATTTTTTTCATTTATAGTTATATTTTCTTTTTTGCAGTCAGTGATGACATAAAAAAGGGTATTCATAAAAACCATTTTATTTACCTTTTAAAATGCGACAAAATCGTGTGGGAACTATTTGTCACTGCAAACTGAATCTGTAAGATTCACTTGCCAGCAAAAGTTTTATTTCGAATAAACAATAAATAAAGCAAGGACATCGCCGTTCGTTACATTAAGTGTGACACACCCATAAATTACCGCTGATCGCACAAAACACCACAGTTCTTCCGGTAAACATGAAGACATAAACGTTTTTGTAGTTTTACAGATTTTTAAGGTTTTTCGGTTGTTGAACTTTCATTGTTGCAGAGTAGTTGTTTTTTTATAAACAATATCACATTTATATAATTACTCATTCAGCAACTAATTTATTTTATAGAAATACAGGATTTGTGTCCTTGATCATTTCGCTTTACAGGTCACTGTGCTGAAGATAGAGCACATGTTGTGCTGCTACTGAATATGCTGAGCAATTTGTTTTGGAACTAACCAGTTTCAATTGTAATGAAGTTGAGTCAATGCTTTGAGGAAGATTGGCCTGATTACCTAAAAAGTATATACTTCATTCCTTCATTCATTACTGAAATATTTTTTAAAAAAAATGTTATAAAAAAAATACTTTTGGTGATACTAACACAGCAGCGTTTCCACACGCCTTAGAAGAATTTAATTGTCAAGAAGAAAATCTACTTATAGTCTACGCGTAATAAAGTTTAATGAAAAACAATTTTTCAATTTAAAAAATTTTAATATTGGGGTCTGATAGCTGTTAAGAAAGCATCTTTCCTCATCTCTTTAAAATGACCAGCGTTTTATTAGAAAAATATTGGAAGATTTAAATTGTGGAGAAGAAAGTCTAACTAAAATCTAAAACTAATTAGATCAAATTGAATACCATTTTCAAAAAAAAAAAAAACAAACAATAGGTTTTGAAATCAACTTCTTCTATAACTAATAAATTGAACAGAGGACCACTTTCCAATTTCTAATATTGTAAATATTGGGGTATAACATTTATTATTAAAGCACTTTCTTCAACTCCATTGACAGTTTATTTGAAAGTTGTGAAGAAGAAAACCAACTTATAGTTGAAACTCTACTTATAGAAAATAAGAATCAATAAGAGTTTTAGTCTTTTTGAGTGCTAATAAGACTCAATAGAAAACAACTTTTCAATTTGAACAAATTTAATATTGGGTTCTGATATCGAACGAAAGTACCTTCTTTAACTACACCTGCCATTTATTAGAAAAATTTGGAAGAATTAAATTGTCAAGAAGAAAATCTAACTAAAATCTATAACTAATAGAAGTATATAGAAGACGACATTTCAACTGAAAAAAATTGAACCATAGGGTCCTGACATTTGTTACGAAAACTTGTTGTCCCTTGGCGCTATAACTGGAATACCGCGCAAGACTCTCCCTTTCAGCCTTTTCGCAATAGTGAACATCATTGCAGACTCTCATTGCACTTTTACAGAATCAGTACAGAGTAATCACGCAATCATCACTTTTGCAGTAAATTTCCACACTTTTAATATGTTCAGCGGTTGTTAAATGATTTAGATTATTTAATGGCAAACTTTAAATTAAAAATACAATGCTTTTCATAACAGTTCTATTTGTCATATATTACAAAAAGAGTATACCAAATTAAGATCTAGATAAGACCTAAGTAAGACCTGAATAAATAAGACCAATACCTGAAAGGGTTCTCAAGAAGTAGATAACCATTTATTTAATATAAATGGATATTTATATTCTATTTCAATATATACACAATCATATATATAATGATATTGTTCATCTTCTCTAAAAACTCGTAATTCCTGTTATTTGTTTTTTCTATACTATTTATAATCTATTTTTCTCTATTATGCACTTATTAAAATTATTCAATGACTAATAATTAATGTAAATTATGTAAACTTTAATGGATGCTCTTCACTTGATGCAGTGTCATAGTCAAAATTTCAAGGGCTTTCAAATTTTCTACCTGCATTTGCATTTACAAACAAGTGTACCTTATCTTGGCTGACCTTAACTTAACTCAATCCATCTCTTCAATACGCAACATCCAACTGACAAGAAGATTAATGCATTTGCCGCTGAAGCTGTAAACGCAGATAAAACAGCCATAAGCCACCGGATTTTTATTTCTTTAGACGCGACTGCTGTCCAG